CTACAACTGCAGTTCAAATATGAATTATTTCATATATACCTCACATCAGTTTGTAAACAAATTAGACTGTTTTTGCACTCACAGTGCAGTATTGTGATCTTACAAGACTGCCAGTGTTCTGACTAGTTTTTGTTACCTAATATCATATTGCATGTGATGAACAATTGTACTGTATTAATCACGAAAACCAAGGGATGAACTGCACGAACCTGTCAAACAAGCCACAAACAAATCCCCACAGGAGACCTGGACAATCGTCACTCCAGACTGCCCCTCAAGGAACCTTGGTACCCACATATCCTCCAACAACATTCCCTTATCTGCTGCATCTGAAGAAACATTCACTGCTTTTTTGTTAGAGTCCCAGATGATCATTCGCCCACCGCCAGTCACTCCTGTTTTCAGCGTCCTCCCAGATGCTACCTGCACCACATCTGAGTCATGTTGCGGCAATGTAAGTTTTGTGGGTGAACTGATGCCACCACCCCAGTGGTACACTACATACTGGCACTCTGGTGGCTTAAAATCTGGAAGTCCCTCAAGGATCACAGATGCTGAGTTAGTGGAACTGGTGCGATAGATTTGATTGCCTGTGGGCCGACTGCTGCTTGAAGATCGTCCACGTGCTGGGGGTATGGCAGCTGCCAAGAAGAACAAAGTTAAGAGTGTTGATAAATGTACATGTGGGAGATGCATCCAAAAAAGTAGACAGGGGTGACAGTTCAATTGATGAGCTTGATTATACATACCAAGCTAAGTGAAGCTCTATCTCTTGATTGAATTTGAGTAATGCTTGCCATTTAATCAATACACACCAATGGTGTACTCCTAGATTTGATGCCTGAGGGGTGGGATGGGGTGTGGGGGGAGTGATGTTTTCCAAAGTTAGCGCTAGTAATCATAAAGGGCAAATTTGTTAAAGACCCTGGATTGTATTTTCCTGGGCAGGCATTTTCCCATTCTGCAATATCCAATGTTATGAGTTTCCCTTTCTCAATTTGTCTCACATTATCTTCCCTACCCTTTCTCCCCTTGGGATGTTTGAATTCCCTCCAGCCCATGCATAATGATTCCCCACTACACTTGTCCGCCTTACGTTAATGCCCTTAAGTCAACAACATGAATGACTACCAGGGCTGTGCTCTAGACGTCCCCAGGTGCCCCAGGTGACTAACCTTTGCCTTTGGGTGACTAGAAAAACTTACTTTTTTCAAACAAGCTTAAGTGCTTGCCGCTCCCAGGATTTCATGGTTAGGAATGCTTAGGCTCCTTGTAATTTTTCTTAGACCACAGCCTTTACTACTAACACTCGTTCTTCAGGGTTAGAGAAAAATGCAGCCTACACTTTACTTGGTCATTTTACTCTTTCAAGAACCTCTTTTAAAGACAAAGGTCATCATGTTAAGGGAGTTCCACTGTTTCAGAAACCTTTCACAGAAGGAAAGCAAGCAACACATGTAGGTACTGTGCAACTGCATGTGTATTTCATGTATTATAATAGAATGACGTTTTTTGTTATAAGCAGAATAATCAAGGGCAAGTATAGTTGTCATTGAGGCCTTAAGTGACACCAGGTTGAGAAAGAGATAGGTGAGGTTGAAGGTAAGTGTCATCAGCTGAAGATGTTTACAGTCAGCTGCCAGTGAAATCAATTTAGCTTCTGCCAAAACTTTACTGCTCACTTACAGTAGTATTCTTCATCATCTTCAACTTCGGGCATTCTATTTATACCACTTTGTTCTAAGCTACTTCGCATCCGTTGAATTTTTTGGCTTTTTTCACATCCACATTGTCCACTGTTTCCTGTGTGTTGCAGTCAGCAGAGCAATCACGCAGAAAGAACTTTGCAGCTGTGCAACTATGTTTGACTAAAGACAAGCTAACCCCTGTAGCTATGCGACCATACTCAACAGGAGAAAAAATATCCCGAATTATAATCCATCAAACATTTTCACTCACATCCAATTGGTCTAACTGCATTGAGTGACTGAATGTGCCCCAGCTGAAACTGGCAAATATCTGAGTGATATTCTCCAATTCTCAAATCCTGCAGGTTGAGAATAATATCTAAAGGATAACTAACACAATAGCCCCCATTTGACTTTAAAACTAAATAAACAATAGCCTCCATTTGGCACAAAAATATGCTCAGATACTTGTCTGCAGACATGATCTGTTCTGAGAAGCAAACAGTTTTATGAGCTTTGAGGCACAGATAACGTTCAAGGACAAATATCTGTGCATACAATCATGCAATTTCACACCAAATGGAGGCTATTGTGTTTATTATCCTTCATATATTTTTGGCAACATGCGCAGTTCTAAAAATTAAGAATATCACTTGGATGTTCCCCAGTTTTAGCTGGAGGATATTCAGTCAGCGTAACCCAAAAACACTGACCCCACTATGGACCAAGTCTGTGGACTACCCTACAGACTGGTCCACGGACTACCCCTACAGACCTCCTCTATGGACCACCCCCAAAATAATAAATAAAGATTTCATTTATGGGTTATCTAATAGATTACTCTTGTTGGTGAAATTTCAAGTGTTATACTGTGCAAATGTAACAGACTTGGGGTTTTAAAACCTGAAAATAATGTCTAAAAGCTGTTCTTGGCATAAGAAGATGTCGAAGGCAAAAAGAAGGAAAGTTCTTCCCTTCAATTCGTGGCTCAGTCTGGGAAGAGTTCACAAACCCACAGGAAAAGGGGCTGAACAAAATGGCAAAGGGAAAGGTGCACAAATTTAGAGGCTTCCCGGTCTTTTATAAACTGTCACAGCAAAGGAAATGGTAAATTTATCTAGCATATTGTTTTCCAACACAATGTAACGTATGATTTGTAACAGGCATGTTTTAAATCACTGTAAACTTTCATAACTGTCACACTGACGATGACGGATGTACCGTCGAAACATGTTTGTGAAAATTAAAAAAGACGTATTATTTTTGAAAATTTCTACATTTTTGGTGCTGTCTCGACTCAAATGGTAATGTGTAATGATGTTACTTGCCCAAGTCTGTAACATTTGCACAACGTAATGTTCGAAATTTTGCCTAAAGGTATAGTCTCTGAGACAACCCATAGGTGAAATCTTTAAGTAATATTGTTTTTGTTCTATTTTGGTGTGGTCTGTAGATGGAGTCCGTAGGGGTAGTCCATTGACTGGTCTGTAGGGTGCCGCAGACCCGGTCCATACTGGGGGTCCATGGACCAGGCTCAGTGTTTTCGGGTTACCCTACTCAGTCATGTATTATGTTTAGACCAATCAAGCTTGGATATTTGTCCTTAGAATGGAGAATGTCCACGGACAAATACCCTAGCATATTTATGCACCAAATGGAGACTGTTGTTTATTGATCTGCAGCTCACAAAATATAACAGAGATTGAGATTCCAATGTACAATGATGCATGTAAATTTACCGGATATCCCTGCCATAGGTCTTGGGGTTCTGTTACATGGCACTCGTCCAACATCAGTGCACACATTAAACAGTGCATTCACTATGAGTGGCTGAGCCATGATCTGTCGGAGGGTTGGTCTTTTCGTGGGATCAATTTGAAGCATGCTGAGAACAAGCTTCTTGAAATCCTCACTGTACCTTTCTGAAATAGGAATAAAGTTTCCTTTCATAATTTTCATCACTAAAGCAGTCAAAGTGGTCGCCTCGAACGCTTTCTTTAACGTGGCCAGCTCGTAAAGTACACATCCAAGAGCCCAAATATCGCTTTTTTGATTATACGGTTTACCTTCGCACAGTTCTGGCGAAATGTAACATGGGGTACCTACAACAGAGTTAGCCTTGCTTTTGCTGCTCAAAATTTTTGATATGCCAAAGTCTCCGATCTTCACAATTTTCCTCGTCTTGTTCAAAAGGATGTTCTGAGTTTTGAGATCCCTGTGAAGGATGTTTCGTTGGTGGACATGATGGATAGCCAACAAGATTTGTACAAACAGTCGTATGATTTCGTCTTCGTCCAAAAGCTTCCCTTCCCGTTCTTCAAGAAAGCTGAACATGGTTCCTCCTTGAGCATACTCCATCACGATCATTAAGGCCCTTCCCTCGAAAAAACTTTCTAAATAGGAGATTATATTCGGGTGTGTTAGCCTTTTCAAAACATCTACCTCGTTCATAGCGGCTTGTCTTTCCTCTTTACTCATTTCTTCGACTGGAATTTGCTTGATGATGAAGTGACATCCATCGGAAATACGTCGACAGAGATAAACGGTGCCATAAGCCCCACGGCCGATAATCTTGATTTTCTCGTATTTTTCCATGTTTACCCTAGGCTTAGAAAGACAAACTGCTCGGATAGACAAGAACTTGGCTGGTCTGACTGAGATGACAACATGACCACTGCGAGCGAACCTCGTTTGGAAGACAAGGGAGAGAGAGGACTGAGCACGACAACTTTGCCTGTTGCCAACAAATATGTCGCACAAACACACGAATTTTCCACCTAAAATCTTTTAAAAATATGAGTTTAGATGCGTCCGAATCGTTGCGGCAACAGTTCCAGTTAATACAGGAACAACAGCAGAGAAAGCTCCTTGCCAGAAAACAGCGAAAGACAAAGAATTCCGAGAAAACAGCCAAAGAAGATGAAGATGTAACGGCAGAAAACTTTTGGGGACATGACGGGCACACTGATAACCTAGATTTGAAGGTTTGTGTAATTTAGTTACTTTAAAGTCAGTCGATTTCTTGTTATTGCTGTGCGTCCCTTATGACAAATATGATTACTATTCCAGGCAGTTCAAAGCCTCAGTTTGTTTCCAAGGCAAAATTAAATATATTTTAGAAGCTTTAGCTAATTTAGTCTAAGTTTTTTCATGCACAGCACATAAGCCTGGCCGTAACGTAGCACTATCGATGATGATCTCAGTGGGCTTTGGGGAATGAAGTAAAAGGAATAACTGAGTAGAACATTTCTTCTGTTTCAGTTCTCTTAACCTTGGCACGATGGTCATTAAAATATTTCGAAAATGGCGCCCGGTTGTTTTCAGCTAAAATGTACTTG